TACATTTAGGCTGTTACTAAACAAATGAAATCAGTATCAATAAAATTCATCTTTGCAGAAGTTGAATATGAAGTGGCATTTAGATGCATTTACACATGTTAATGCAACTTAGAGGGACATGGGATGATTTAGCCTGCAGTTACAAATGCATAAATAATGTTTTGATATTTAAAACATGAAATGTTGAATAGTGATATTTTTTAATTATTTAAAAAATTAAAAGATACTTTAAATGTGAAATTAAATCCACCAGTAAGTGGCAGCAAGTCACTGTTAAGTATGTTTTGGTTTAAAGGTCAGAAGCTATAGCTTACATGAATAAAATATCACAAACGTGACACTTGTAAATTAAATAATTGTATATATACAGATTTATTCATTAATGTGTAATATTTTGTCAAATAGATTATGAAAACTTAAATACAAGGAGGTCTAATAGATTTTTCTCTTTTGCTTTAGGCCATTTACAAATGTTAACTCTACAAATAAAATGTAAAGGTTACCACTGCATCTGTCTAAAAAAAACTGCAGTGATTGATTTATAGCTATTTTCAAAGCATTTAATGTACTCTCATTAGTGTTTATTTAATTCTAACAAGTAAGTTTTTGTTAAAAACTAACCAAAACAAAATTATAATTTGTTTATAATCTCTGCACAGGAGGGACTTGGTGTTGTTTCCAAACAAAATGAAATATATTGGTATCGGCATCAGCAATTGGCCAAAATGACTTGGAAAAATATCGGCATATCGGATATCGGCAAAAATCCAATATCGTGCATCCCTAATTTCCAATTATAATTTGTATGTTTTAAAACACAACAATGTAATGCACAAACATTGCTATATCATTACCAGTCGGTCTGTAACTAGATCTTGAATCTGTCATTCTGTAATCTGTTTCAGAGGCAGACAATCGAGCTCATTCCCATAACAAAAGTGAACTACATGTGGAAAGGAAAGCCTAATGTTTACTATGTGTATGGAAATGAGTTTAAAGTGAACGCTGATGACTATCCCGACCAATGCTGCTGTTCTGTCATGTAACATCAAATACACCTGACCTGATCAGTATAAGTACAATATAAATACTATACATCCATTAAGATGAACAAATGTAATGTGTCTTGTGCCTATACATCCCAGAATCATCTGTAGCTGACAGACAAAACTCAGCCTGTCCGAATGGGGCATTGTTTATGCAGCTTAAGTTCCAACCATGTACATGTATGTAACATTCAATATGACCAAATGTGAATAACTAAACCTCTTATAGATTAATGCATTTTTTCAGAAGACCTAACTATTGAAGAATATGGAGTATAGTCTGTAGTAAATCTATAAACAAAAACAATGTATTGAGATCAAGAAAGAGTCCAAATAAACTGTGAATTTTGAGGAAGGACCCCAAAACTTTTTTTAAGCTTTTTCTTTTATTTTCACAATATTTGTATTTTCTTTTTCTTTTTTGTATGTTCTTTTCATTTTCTGTATTATTTTTGTTTTGTTTTGAGAAAGAACAAATGCTGCGTCTTAATTGATACGTGTTAAAGTATCAATTCAATTAAGTGCATTTTCAATCTAGTTTTGGAAACATTTGTGCAGCGATTGTTTTTATGTGGTACTGTTTAATGGAAAATGTTGATTAAAAAAGAGGAGGTCTGTGGTGAGCCTGTGGTTATGTGGTCACAAAGAATTTCAGATCAAATCCCAGGAAAAAAAACAAAGCAATTAATTCAATTGTATTTTAATTTGCAGTATATTTCATCAGTGTGGCTGTAGGTGCAAGGAGTGAGAGAAAACAGCATATTTCCTTTTATCATTAATGAAGCATTTATTCAGACTGATTCTAGGCTAGGTACTGTATAATTGTGGAATCTACTGTAAATAGTGGTTTTGTTACCATTATGATGATCAGTTTTCCTTTGACCTTAGTTACTTTTTTTGGTGTTTTATCTCTGCACCAGTCTGTGAAATATTTCACTGAAGAGCCCAGTGGTCATAACTAAAGGAGGTGGGCGTTAAACAACTAACCTGTAACCTCAATTTCTTTAACCATCTCAGAAACTCACAAGCGTCAGAATGTGAGCTTCTTTACAGCTATATAATCTTAATCTGTCTCTTCTGATATGAGAAGCAACTCTGAGATACAAGAAAGTAAGTCTCTGATTACCTCTATGTTGAAACGATAGCTTATTTTTGGCTAATAATAGGCCTATGTATTGTACAGAATAATGTCTAATAATGTAAATGACTAGATTAATTGCTATTTAGCTAACGTTTTACAAACATTAAAAACATCATGGGCATTTTCTCACAACCTGATTAAAATTACTAATAAATGATCAGAAGAGCAACCATCTTTGGCCAGTTTTGTGAATGGAACACATCAATTTGCCTTTTTATTTTTATACAAATAAATAAATCCATCGAGTGTGAATACTGTTTAAAAATGTAAACATGAGATTACTTTTTCACACTTCAGGTTTGCAAAAAGTGAAGTTAAAACTTAGAAATCACTGGTGTGTAAAACTATAGAGTTATACTCTTTCAGTTTGAGGTGGATGAATGGAGACGTGTTCATTGGTGACCAAGTTTGAATATAATGTAAATGAATAAATACAAAAAAGAAAAAATTACATAGAACATTCTCTGATACAGTAACCTCATTAGACTTAAAGGAATATTTCACACAAAATTGTACATTTCCTCAAGCTGATCTACAACTTGGCCTGAAGGTTTATCTTCATTAGAACAGATTTGGAGAAATGTAGCATTAGGCTATGTTCACACTTGGCGTCTTTTTTGAAGCTGCCAGTGTCTGTTTTACATTACAATCCTATGGAGTAAACAGTGTTTTTAAAAAAAAAAAGTCCTGAGCACTTTTTTTAAATGCCACCTCCGGCGTCTTTTTCTGCAGCTCACAGCATCTTTTCAAGTTGAAGAAAGTTGAACTTTTCTGAAAAATAAAATCCTACGTCAAGCGCCTTTTTGACAGCTGACCAATGACAAGCGAGTAGCGAGACCAGTCGTTTCCATAACAACAAGAACAACCAGAAAAAATGGAGAAGGTGCCAGTAGATAGACTTATCGTACTAGTTTCGGAGCACAAGGAGTTGTATGATATTTGTATAGTGTAAAATATGCCGCAAACCGTGCATCATCCAACCGGAGCTCCTGGACTAAATTGTTATAAGCAGTGCACCATACTGTTTCCTTCCCCGTATAATGTCATGCACATAAAAACGTTGTTATGAACCGACATTCTCCTCCCTGTTAACTTCAGAAGCCAACACAAGAGCCAACTTCCTCTTTCTCTACATTTCTGCACCACACAGCACTAGGCTATTGTTGCAACTGTTATTATAGCAACAATCGACTTCCTCGGCTGCTATTTGTAACCAAAACGCTAAACTTTTTTACTAAAAAAATGCCCTTGTCAACTTTTTCTTGTCAAAAAAAGACACCAACTGTGAACATGCCCTTACATCACTTGCTCACCAATGGATCCTCTGCAGTGAATGGGTGCCGTCAGAATGAGAGTCCAAACAGCTGATAAAAACATCACAATAATCCACAACTAATCCACACCTCATGACTGCAGCAGTGATCGTGACCCACATAAGGAGCAAAACTAAAGGTGTGTGTTTACTAGTTACGCACTCATTATAGCAGCAATGAATATTATTGAAGGCCTGATGACCACAGTCATTTAAACCTAATAATGAAAATTCATACACACTCTGCTAAGAGCATTTCAAAATGCTTCATGTATTTCATTTGATTACTAGCTCAATCATCGTTTACGCTGGCTGCTAAAGATGCCTTTCAAGAAGCTAACATGCAGGCTTTGCTTTTCAGAGCTGTAGATTAAAGTAAATGAACTGAGTTTCTCTTCCTCATTCTTAATGCTGATGACTTGTGACACATCACACAGTAGGCGCTCAGTATACAGTATATACAGTATATAGTTTTCTGTGTATGTCTGCTTTAAAATCTCACACCAGTTATTGGTGTGAGATGCATTTTGACATGCAATGCTAATGAAGACAACTCTAGCATATTTGCATTACATCTTCTGATCATGTTTGTCCTTGATGTGATGATAACCTGACGAGGTTTGGTTTGGTTTGGTGTGTCCTTACTAATGAATTTGGGTTCAAGATTAGATTTGGATCAGGCTTAAGCTTCAGTAGTTTAACAGCACACAGAAACTAACCCTGAACTCTTTGTAAACTTGTTAACAGACTCCATCAACCCCACAGCAGTTACCAACAATGACTACGTGGAAACATAAATAATCACTTTCAGAAGATAATAGAACAGGCCTGAAGAAAAACAAAAATGTATAAAAATGAAATATAAATGAAAAATCTATTCATTATTCAACTAACCTTTGGCATTTTTTATTTTATTTGGAATATATTATTACAAGCACTATTTTATAAAGATGTCATTTTTTACATGTTTTTGCTTATGCTGTAACATTCTTCATTTGTTAGTATTTTTGTATAAAATTGTTTGTTATATAAAAATAACTGCTTCCCTTACTGCTGTAGCTTTGAATTGTCTACATTCAGCAAGGGGCAGAAGCTGTGGTATGGTATATTTCACATATGTTTTATAAGAAAATAAAAGTGATTACTTGCATGCATTAATGTGATCTTGTTTTTCTTTGTTCTTATCTTGAATAATAAAAATAAAATAACAAAAATAACTATATTGTGTAATAATCTTTTTAAAAATATTGTGAAATAATAAAATATTTTGGTCATATCACCCACCCCAAACATCCAAGTCTGCAATAGGGCTAAAACAATGATCAACAACATTGACAATAAAAAAAAAGGTCAACAAATATTTTTGTTGTGGAATGGTCTTTAGACCTCATATGACCTAATGTAAGGGCCTGCAATAACACTGTTTGACCAGTGTGACTAATTCAGTCCTCCTGGATGCAATTTAGTAGAAGAAAACATGGTGTTGATGAGATTATGGCTGCATCCGAAAGCTCAGGCAACTGACCCTATCAGACAATGACTTTGCAGGCAGCGTTTGTGCACAGAGCTACCTCCTGAAATGAATTTCAGGCACACTTTTGAGGCAGCATAATAGTTTAATGACCTAAAGTGATAGCTCGATTTGCATAGATTAAAGCTTGATCTTGTTCAGGGCTGTTTTGATTACTGTAACACTATAAGGTATTTTAAGAGAGATAATGTTGTCAATAAAACAGTTTATCCAAAAATAAAACATCCTCAAAAAGGAGATGTTAGGCAGGATGATAATAATAATAATAATAATTCAATACATTTATATAGCGCTTTTCTAGGCACTCAAAGCGCTTTACATTGTCGGGGGGTATCTCCTCATCCACCAGCAGTGTGCAGCATCCACCTGGATGATGCGACGGCAGCCATAGTGCGCCAGAACACCCACCACACACCAGCTTATTGGTGGAGAGGAGACAGAGTGATGAAGCCAATTAGCAGATTTGGGGATTGTTAGGAGGCCATGATGATCACAGGCCAATGGGCAAATTTGACCAGGATGCCGAGGTCACACCTCTACTCTTTTCGAAAGACATCCTGGGATTTTTAATGACCACAGAGAGTCAGGATTTAACGGTTTAACGTCTCATCCGAAGGACGGATGGGATTATTTGCATTGATGCATTATTTTAACATTTTAAACTGTCAAATAGTATCACGTAACAACGTGCCCCACCTATGGAATATAAATACGTTTTGAATCAATAGCTTTAAACATGACTACATATGATTTTAGATTTTTAAGTGTTTTTATACCTATAAATATGATCAACTCTATAAACTAACTTTACAACTTTTACTTATATGGCAAGATGTTTTCTTTAAGTTTCCCTCTTTCATGGAAAGATCGTTTCATCTCTATAAATGTGTTTAAATTCTTCATATTGTTCAATCTTTTAATCTTTGGTAGTGAATCGCACTGACTCTCTCACAAGAAGTGAATCACAGTTTCAAGGCATGTGATTGGATGTTCATTACTGATGTCACACTTTCATGTGCACGTGTCCCATTAACTCAGGATCAAGCCCGAGTTGACAGAGAAAGTTGACGATCAGCTTCATGGTACCAACAAAGCCGGATAGGAGTGGTTTGGATTTGTCAACTCAAAACTAATTCTGTAACGCCGAGTTTGTTCAGCCACCATCATGGTACAGGCCCCAGGTCGTCAGGTGAGGGCAATGCCAAAATAACAAACAAAACAAGGACTTCCTAAAGGGTTTAAGCGACATAAATTCCCTAACAAAAGTACACAATATTAAAGACTCTGCCTGACTAACACAAAAACAGAAGAAAAATTAGGAATGGGTAAAACCCAAATAAATTGACGCCCGTCTCCCTACATGGTTTTACTTTTAAGTTCACACAGAGATTAATGCAACGTCTTTGCAATCACACAACAGGTTCACATGTGAAACTTTGCTCTTTGCAGCCTGAAATGAAGACGGACACAGTTTTTGTTTTATCCAGCTGTATTTACTAAGTGTAACTTATAACATCCAAGTGAAAGATATAACACCAACATGTCCGGAAAAAAAAGCAGAATCACTCAGTTGGAAAAAGGATCACCCCCCTCCTAAAACTGACTGATAAACTGGGCCATTTGACTTTCAACTGTGATCAGCTGTGCTCATTTTGATTTGCTCAGCATGAAAAGAGCTTTCCTGGAGCATTTCAGTCCTTGGTAGTTCAACTGAAGCAAACAATCAACTATGGGTGACAACTGTTCCCTCACTTCCCAAATTGTCCTCTAAAATACGCATTAGACCATTCTTTCGATCTTAAACCCAGTGATAAACATCTTATCTCAGTAATTTATAACTTAGTTAATACTTTGACACCTGTGCCCGGTTGCATAAAGCACCTTAAGTGTAATTTTCCCTTAAACTTAAGGTTGTTGCTGAAAATAACACTTAAGTGTTAATTAAGGGTTTCTTTAAAGGGGTCCTATTATGCTTTTTCACTTTTTACATTTTAGTCAGTGTGTAGTGTATATGTTTGGGCCTAAAAAAGATCTAGAAAGTTACAAATCTCAAAGTCCACTCCAAAGGGAGATATTTGGTTTTTTTAAATCCCTTTTCAAGAACTACAAGGAACGGCTCGTTTGGACTACAGCATTGGTTTTCCGGGCTTTGTGATATCACAAAGTGGCTCATTGGAATTTCATTACAAATAATTCCCGCCTACAGAAATTCGAATGGTTGTGGGGTGGGGAGGGGCGAGGTTGTGGTTAGAACGCTTGATTGAGTGACTGCATCAGATGAGACGACGGAGAAGAAGAGCTGCTGCAGAGTTAGTGCATCAGAGAAAACCAAGAAGAAGAGCTGCTGTGCTGTAGCGTCAAATTTTCAGCATGTGAACCATTTAGACAAAAAGGTTCTTCTATGGCATCGTGAAGCACCTTTATTTTTAAGAGTGTACATCAAATCTCAGCAAAAAAAATATTTTTTAATGTGAATTTAGATTTGTTTGTAAAATAATATAAATGCATAATATAATGTTAAAATATAAATAAGTATTTTATATACAACATTTAATTATTGAAACTACACATTCTGAACAATTATAGTTTTAAGCAGTTTATTAGTATTCAGTATGCTACACTCTAAGAAAAAAATTCACAGGTTTTTACCTACATTTTTAAATTATGCATTGTATTTTGTGTTTTCGGGTTACAGGGTTACAATGGATAATGGATAACAGATAATGTCCTGGAAAAATACTAGTACCTTTTCCATAGATATCCACGGATACACTGTTTTCGTTCAGATCAAATCACAACAACGTAGGAAACAGATCCGTGTGGCGCAGCTGACACAGAACAGCATACGCTGTTTACATCCAGATGATATTCTCCAAAATGGCGCTACAGGGTGATGCGGAGGAGATGAGTTGTTGAATAAAGTCGTTATTTTTTTTCTTTTGCGCACAATAAGTATTCTCGTAGCTTCGTAAAATGACGGTTGAACCCCTGATGTCACATGGATTATTTTACCAATCTCCTTGCTACGTTTCTGGACTTGGGAACATTTCAGTTGCGTTGCTGTCTATGCAGGGTCAGACAGCTCTCAGATTCCATCAAAAATATCTGCATTTGTGTTCCAAAGATTAACAAAGGTCTTACGGGTTTGAAACGACATGAGGGTGAGTAATTAATGACAGAATGTTCATTTTTGGGTGAACTAACCCTTTAATATGTAATATTATAAGCCTAAAAAAATTGACCTCAAAAAAATTATTCATGAGCAATAACTGCTTAATTTTTTTCATATTAGCTATATTATATTATATTATTATAAAGAATTGAAATGTTCTGTGTGAGATTTTTTTAAATTATATATATATTCTTGAATTTCTTGGCAAGTAACAGCACTGTAAAAAAAACGTTTTCTCAGGAAACCTGAAATGTGCATCATTTAGTTTCATCAAGGGTCAAATCAAATATTACACACAGGTGTAGTGTGTAAACTGTACTACATGGGGATGTTTTAGATAACTGTAAAAGTGTTTTTGCTCAGGTGGCCGAAATGTCTGACCAATAGAGAACATTTTTGTTCAGCAAGAAAAACAATTTGAGGGAACATGGAATATGACCTAATTTTATAAATGTAAATATAAATGTTTTTTTTGTTTTTGTTTTTTTAGCTGTTGTCTTACAGATGTAGTATCTGACTACATCCAGTAGGGGATGAGTGTACTGATACAAAAGTACACTGTAAAAAATGACTGTGAATTTAACGGTAAAAGACTGTAAAAATGCTACAGTAAAATCCTGTTAAATGGTTAACGGTAAATTCCCCTACTATATACGGTGAAAAACTGTATTGGACATTACATGTATTGGACATTAATTTTACGGTAGTATACCGTTTTTGGAAGTGAAAAAGACTGTATAATTTACAGTGAATAACCGTAAATTGACATTCCCAGAATTCCCTGCGTTACATTTCAAATTTGATGTTTTTTTGTTTAAATAACTGTTTCTTCTTAGTTTTTTCTTATCAGTTTTGTATATTAGGGTTGTGTGTTACACCTGATGTTGTAAATGAATGTTTATTGCATTGTTTCAGTTTCATGTGTGTTACTGTGTTTAGTGTCTGTGTGAATGACACTGTGCACCTTCTATATATGTTATTATTTAATAACTGCTTGTGAGGGGCTTTGGTTCATCATGTGACTTTCTCATCACCACCTGCATTTGGTGGTTATCAGTGTATTACAAAGGTACAAAACAGATTTCAGTACTTCAATAGGTTGGTATATTAACATTATATCAGTTAATGAAATTACGGTATTTAACTGTAAATTTAATTTAAAACCTAAACCGTTGCTACCTTATTTTTTACGGTAAAATTCTGGCAACCACAGCTGCCGGTGTTTTACCGTAAAAATTTTTTACAGTTTACTGATGAGTGCTAGTAATGGATTTTTATTTAGGCTAATGGTAGCAACACATTATTATAATCAACTTCATGCTTTATCAGAGTACAATCTTAAAAATAAAAGGGTGTTTTCAAAGCGATGCCATAAATTAAATATTTTTGGTTCCCCAGAGAACCTTTTAATGAACAGTTCTTGAAAATAACCTTTTTTTTCTTGGTGTAAGGAACATTTTAATAATCTAAATAACCTTTTTTTTCCCCAATGGAAAGGTTCCATGGATGAACCTTATAAATTATAAATAACTTTTTGTCCAATGGAAAGATTCCATAGAAGCCAATAAAGAACCTTTATTTTTAATAGAGAAAATAGAGCCGAAAGACCATTGACAGAAACGACCCTGGGCGCTTGTGGTGTGTACAACTCTGCTCGATGCTATGCTCACTTTAAACTGTAGAAACAATCAAATGGTGCTAACATTAATCGTTGACATTATGTCTTGCGGTCTGAAACCGAACCGCAGTCCACTATTTGAGGATCCATGGTGTAGGAAAATTGCAACTGTTGAATTAATCATTAAATATTCTAGATATTTAAATATACTACATTAACATGCTATATGTGATTTTTCTAGCTAATCTTGCATTTTAATTTGTCCTCTACCTGCATACACACTGGTTTCATATTCATAAGCAGACAGTTGAACAGCTTATTTTTGCTACAGAATAATAGTTATATAGACATTTCCTCTTTCCCAGGTGAGAAACTTATACTTTGCTGAATTTTTATTTCATAATCATGCTATGGTTTAAATCTATGTCTACATCCAGTAGGGGGCAGCTTTGTGTAGCTGTTATGTTTAAGCCTTGAGTTCAAAATGTTTTTTTTATAATAACCTTGAACAATTTATGCACGATCTTAATGGTTCATTAGTGCAATAATATTTTAATAATTGTATTACTATCAATACATATTATGAGAAACACAATGAATTAGAATTTGATTTTTTCTTCATGTGTCAGACAGAGCTGTGAAAGCTTCAAACTAAAAGACCTTAATAACTGAGAACTGCACATAGACCATAGTATATGTCATGTTTATATTTTTGAGACATTTAAACTCTCACTTTGTAATACTCTGATACAGGTCCGGTTATGCAGTTCTGATAGATGTTGCATTGTTTTACTGATAGACGTTTAACATTCTTTTAATTAATCCATACATAATCCATACCCAACCATACAGTTGGTAGAAACTGACTGGAAAATGGTTTTCTCCAAGAGGGTTCAAGTCCTTGTCAAAGTGGATGGTGTGGAGGTGTGCAGGGGAATAGGAGTTGAAGAAGGGATAATTGCAGCCTTCAGTGCTTCAGGTGGGTGGCAAGCCCCTTCCAATAAATATTCAGAATAATTAATATCCTGTTCTGGTTCACAACCATGAACCCAATTTCAGCATCACTTGTGGACTGAATAACTGCAAGTCATCTTCAAGTCAAGTCAAGTCAAGTCTGCTTTATTGTCAATTCTTCCACATGTACAGCACATACACACAGAGAATTGAAATTGCGTTACTCTCAGACCCCTGGGTGCATACAGATAACATAAATACAGATTAAATACAAAATACAAAATACAACTATACAAATAAGGTAAAATGTAAAAATATATATAAAGCACAAGGCATATGGCAGATAGAGTGCAAACCAGTAAAGTAAACAACAGTGCAGATATAATGATTGTAGTGCAAAAAAAATGATTTGTAGTGCAAAAGAGCTTATTCAGACTGATTAAGTGTGTGTGTGTATTTGGAAGGGGGGAGTGGGAGAGTCCATTAGAGGGTCAGAGTTCAGTGGTGTCCTGAAGTCAACAACAACAATATCTTTTACAATATATGAGTCTTTCAGAAGTCGTGTCTATCGAAAACATAGGAAGCTTGTTCTACCTCATGATGATATGGATTGCTACTGAATACATGGACAATGACAATGATTTTGAAAACATGGACTGTCACAATGATCTGGAGAATACCATTGAGCTACAGCCTAGGACAGATGAAAAGCATCCACCTAGTAGGAAGCATTTTTTTATTTTGTTATTCTAAAGAGAATTACAACTCTTTTATTACTTACCATCTTCAAAAAAAAATGGGTTCAACATTTTAGAATGTCCTGAAATAAGAGAAATGGTACAGTCAAGGGAAGTCCTCTATTTTTCCAAATGAAATACATTTTAAATGTCAATACTGTATGGTTTCTGTGTGGCAAGTTTTTAATACCAGTGTCGTATGATTCACACTTCCATGCGTACACAGTAAAAGTTGACTTTGAATGGAGTGTTATAAAACCAGAGCAAGAGATGGACTTTCAGCCCCTTGACGCATTCTCTGCTGATGATAAATTGTTTGTGATCCTCAAGAATGTTTAAAAAGTTCAAATTAAATGTGTAGTACTGTGTTTAGTGAAATGTGGGATTGTAATAAAATGGTTTACGAGTAAAAGTTACAATTAATGAAATGTGTACTGTTGGAAAAAGATTGCTTTGTAATTCTTAATGTTCAAAAATGTAGAATGTAGTAGAAAAATATACTTAAAATGAGATCTAGTGCTGTTTTGAAAAAGTTTAATTACTTTGTGATTCTTAATGTTACATGCTTTATTACACGGTAAAAAAAAATGGGATGTACTGATTTTGAAAAAAGTGTAATATAATATTAAGCTTAATATTCTTGCTGTTTACAACTTTATAAATCGTTTTAAAAAGTTAAAGAGTATAAACATAACTGTTTTTGAAAAAAAGTTAAATTGCTCAGTATATGCATCCTGTTATGACACATTGTGATAGAGCTTAAAATATTCATCCTGTGAAAAATGTGAGAATGTAATAGTTGTGAATGTTTAATAAATGTGTGTTTGTGATAAAAAGTTAAGGGTATAAAAAGTCACTGTGGAGGAAATTTTATTTCTATCTGAAATATTAATATTATTTGCTTCACTGTACTTAAGAGTGTTCTTTAGACTGTCTCTGCGTGCTTCAGTATGATTGAGTTTTTCATGAGCTGAGAGATAACAGGAAATCTATTTGTGTGTGTGTGTGTGTGTGTGTGTGTGTGCAAGACAAGTATGAGACAGATGTTATTTTAGTTTCTTAAACATCCTGGCTACTTAGAAAATGATTTGCATTAAATTCTTAGAAACAAATCTGGAGGACAGTTAGGCACCTTAAATGGACATATATGTTGAATAATATGCATTATGATTGGATGAGATAAAAGCATCCACATTTGATGAAGGTATAAATGTTGAGTTTGGCCGTTTCCTCTTTGTTGCAATCTACAGCCAACCCTGAATGACTGTATGGATGTAGACCTTTTCCTGCAGGAAAATAAATATTCAAAAGACTTTTGTCTCATACCTTTAATTGAAATGGAAAATTGACACGACAGTTACAATTAATGAAATGTGTACTGTTGGAAAAAGATTGCTTTTTGATTCTTGCCGTTTACAATTTTGAGTATAAAATAAAATAACTGTTTTAAAAAAAAAAAGTAAATTATCGTCTTGTTATGACATTGTGATAGAGCTAAAAACATTCATCCTGTGAAAAATGTGAGAATGTAATAGTTTTGAATGTTTAATAAATGTGATAAAACAGCATTCTGGCCTATTTAATGTGCTGTATGGAGTACAAATTTGCCATCACAAGGTACAAAAGGCTTGTCACCCTTAAAAGGACAAATTTGCACCTTTTTAAAAGGTACATTATGGTACCATAGCACTATAAGGTACAATTTAGTCAGCAGAGGTACATATTTGCCTTTGAAAGGTACATACGGCAAGGGTACAGTACAGATATGTACCCATGTGAAAGGGTACAACGAGTGTACCCTTGAGGGTACTGCCCCAGTGACAAGCCGTTGTACCCCTGAAGGTACAAATTTTGCACATTTTTCTGACAGTGCACAAATGGGTGTGCCAAGCTTGTAGCATCATACTCAAAAAGACTTAAGGCTGTAATTAGTGCCAAAGGTGCTTCAACAAAGTATTGAGCAAAGGCTGTGAATATATATGTACATCTGATTTTTTTTTCTTTTTTTTTATAAATTTGAAAAGATTTCAAACAAACTTCTTTCACGTTGTCATTATAGGGTATTGTTTGTAGAATTTTTGAGGAAAATGAATGTTATCCATTTTTGGAATAAGGCTGCAACATAACAAAATGTGGAAAAAGTGAAGCGCTGTGAATACTTTCCAGATGCACTGTACATTGCCATTTTGCATATTACATTTCAAAATGAATATTGCTACCCATATGCTTCCATAAGTGAGAGTGTAACCAATCAAATTGTAGAACGCTGTAAAGCAAATGTAGATAATATGATCATCAAGGTATAAATATGAGTGTATTGTTCTGGTCGTTGAGTTGCTCTGCTGTGTCTGAAGTGACTCCTGGACAGCTGTGAATAAACCTTATAAACTTAGGAGTGTGTCTTGATGCTGCACAGCTCAAGAAGGGAAACACTAAGGAATCTAACACACACTTTGGAAGTGATATGCAGTGATAGTGTCTTCTTGGAATGGTGGTTAGAGTCCAGTATAGACAAACTGGGTTGCCAAGCATCTTAAGATAAAATTATTGTGAACATTTTTAATTAAAGGGGTGGTTCAGTGTTTTTTTTTTCTAGGCTTGATTGTATTTATGGGGTGCAGTCTAACATGTGTTAATGCTATTTTTCACATAATTTACCTTTATTCCACACCGCTCTGTCCCTTCTCAGAGAAACACGCTGATCATTTCCTTCTTGTATGAAGTCCCTCCCTCAGAAATAGATGATGGGCTCCGATTGGTTAGCTAGCCCAGTGTGTTGTGATTGGCTAAACCGCCTCTAGTGCGCATCTAAACGTCCCGCCCCTCACCTCAGCGGCATGTGCTCCGGTTGTATTGTAAACAAAGGCGTCGTTAATATCGCTTTTCAGTTTGAGCCCGATTGAGAAGCAGAGGATATTATTGAAGAGGATCGTGCAGAATCTGTGCAAGCACGGCTTTTTTTGTTTGTTGTTGTCTCATACTTTAGATACGCTGTTATTTGTAAATGCTACTGCATATGTTAGCTTTTAATATACGGTTTTATCCTGATTAAAGCTTTAATACAGTACGGCAACTGCACGCACGTCCATGTTTAATGCTTCTCATAGCTATGTAGTGAAAATCAGTGTATATGGAGCCGAGCTGAATGAGAGAGAGAGAGAGAGAGAGATGTAGAGCATGTGCAGAGCAGGGGGACGTGAGGAACAGTATTAAGAACCATTGCTTTAGAACATTGATTGTGAAACTTGTGAATCCATTAGAATCGTTAGAAGACAGAATCGCGATTCATACATTAATAGATTTTTACGTGCACCTGTAGTTTTCTCTTCCTCTTCTCTAAAGTAGCGCAGCATGGCCTCGCCCCCTTTGCTGCCTTTTCCCGGGGGCGGGGTTTATCTGGGTTTGTGATGTCACAGTGTCTAAAAATGATGATCTGGAGCTGTATGTCACATAGAAAAAACCATGCATGTGTAAAAATCAAGAGCTATATCTAGATGGCCTAATGTGATTGCATATTTCAATGATAAAGACTCTTTTGTCCTACTTTTTTTGATTATTGGGTGCATCTTCTTCTTTACTATCCTGGAAGCAGGTATTATATCAGCCTTAGTTGAAGGTATCACTTAAAATCAGCCTCATTTGAAAAAAATCCAGCAGAAATGTTTGTCATAAGAGCCGCTTCTGCATTTCACATTCTACTTTTAACATCTTTTTTTTTGTTGTTGTTATTCTTGTTAACAGAGGAAGTCGGTTAAGTGTTAAGACTCAGTAACTGCCGCTCGTGTATCTCAGAAAGCTGTAGTCTCTAATCTATGACAGCATGAACCAGCTTTATATCCTTTTATTGGCCCTTTGGTCAGCTTTCAGTAAGTGGATTCCATTTCTTTGCCTCAGATTTTGTGTTTATCTGCTATGTGTAAGGATTAGGGGTGTAACGGTTCTCTGTAAAAAAAAAAATCGGGTAACAAAAATCGAAATTGTACCGTTCTCCTCCCATGGTTCTGCACGCACTTGCACCGCGGTTCAACTTAAATCTGACAATGCATCTGTAAAATGGTTTGTTAAAAATAACAACACATAAAACAGTTCGACTAATGTATGTTTCTGTCGATGGATACACATTCTGGCTTACCTACATTACCTACAAATACATTACAACAACAGCAAAAAAAAAAAAAGACAAACCTGTCACTCTTTGTTCAATGCGAGTGCCATATGCTGGAATATGACCAGTCGTTCATGCCGTCATCACCCGCGCATGTGAGACCTGAACAGCACATGTTGCTAT